CTGTCCAACTCTGTCTCTGTTACTCTCCTCTCATTTGTTCGAGGCGGCGCTCTCTCTGCCTCCGCTTTGCTGCTCTTCCTTTTTCTTCATTGTACTGTCGTGTGTTTGCTCAGGGCTACTTGTTTAAGCTCAAATAAATCCAGCCAGAGTCGGCGGGGCCTCGGCTCTCAGGCTCACAACGAGAGACTTTCTTTAACAGAGGCTGAAAAATGACACACACACAGTTTATATATACATATATATATAAAAAGTTATAAATAAAGAAGTGCAAATAGTAAACTTCAGCTGGGTCTAAACAAATATGCAATTATCTCATTTCACCGGGGGATTGTCCCAGAAAAGCGGGCCGCCAGTCACTGTCAAGACTTTATATTCATGCACAAGGAAGACTCGTTTACTTTGCACTTGTAACACACACACACACACACACACACACACACACACACACTGCTGTGTGTCAGAAGCTGAAATATCTCCATAAAACCGTGTGTTTCTTTGACAGCTTAGTTTGACAGAAATATTCCTTGTTCCTGTTACAGGGGCGTAAAAAAAGGAAGTCTCACAGTGGAAGAATAAAGCAGCTCTGCTCTGAGAGTTTCTTTTTTAATCTGCTGCTGCTGTTCAATATTTTTTATATACATACATATAAATATATATATATATATTCAGCTCCTGTTGTCACAGATATTTAAGAATACAGAGCTTAAATTTAAGCACAAATGTGTCCTGTCACTGCTCAGAGGAAGAACAGAGGAAACACCGTTGTCCATATTTGGTCTCCTTCCAGCGACAAGTTTAAAACATTGTGATGGTTTCCTCTGAGGGGAAATAACACTGTTGGATGGAGAGAATAGCCTTTGGAACGTGGAAGCTGCCAGCTGGCTGAACTTCTCAACGTTCCTAAAAATGTCCCCAGATCTGCCAACTCTCTCCAGAACCTGTCAGAGATGTGGTCGTCCGCTGCTTTTTTTGTCCGTCTGTATCATCCCCTCAGCATTGTGATATTTTGGCTCTCATCTACAGCTGTAACACATGATGGTCACGTACACATCCGCCATCGAGTCCTCTGTGTGACTGTGCTGTTCAGGAAGGCAGAGAAGTTGGTGACAGCGAACGGTTTAAACAGAAGGTGAGTCAATAAACAGGCGGCGCGACGGTGACGCACGAGGTGTTGGTGTTGCAGTGGTGAAGACACTCCAGTGGACGGACACCTTCAAGGCCTGTGAAAGACTGTCAGTAAGTTATATTTAGAATGTTTACATATGAATCATGTGAGGTTAGCATTGAACATTTAAAAAAAAAAAGCTGGATTAGTCAGTATGGAGCAGTTAGACCAGTAAAATAAAAATAAATAATAATTTCAATAATAAAATTAAGTATGAATAAAACTTGAATCTTGAATCTAAGGACAACTGTTCTATAAAGACAGACTGAAAATGACATCATAAAACGTTCAATGTTAGTGAAATTCTGATGAAATTCCCGCTGAGTTTTTACTCACTGTGACATACTTTAAATCTCCCAGAGTGCTTTGCTCGTCAGTCTCCAGCATTATTATAAAAATAAAGCAGTGTGTTGGCGTGTGGAAAAGAGAGAATAAAAGTATTCCCTCGGACATTCTGTTTCCTTACAGTCAAACGCAGCTCACATTATAAAATCTATTTTCAGCCCAGTTATAACGGCTCTGTCACAAAGGAGAATTATTTACCACAATTTACAGCCTGTGAACGTGACCTCATTTATCTGAGTCACTTTACATGACATTTCATGTCAAAGTTCTGTTTCAGAAAGTATTTGGACATTTGTACGTTTGCGCTGATGCCTAGCTGTAAGGAGGTCATCGGTTTGCTTCCCATTTCAGATCAATTGCCCTTTGGCCTTTGCATGGTCTCCATGAGTGTGTGTTCATTCTACAAAGCTGGTCACATTGGTTCAAAACAGAAAAAAATCCCTGATACACCTTTTTTTCATTTAATCCTATAAATATTCTCTAAAACAACAGCGCAAATATGTGAAATTACTGAATCACTGTGACCTTTAAGAGCAAAATTAAATCATTATTGACATTTAATTTTGGGCCGGATCTGGAGCGGTTCCTGTGCCGGAAGTGGCCCACGGGCCAGGAGTTTGGGACCCACAACTACGTAGGTGTGGTGAAAATGGGAGTAAACTTATGTTTAAAGTATGTTTGAAAGACAAATTTTACAGTAGAAATGTCACACACACGTGCACGTGCACGCACAGGTGGGGACAACTCAAGGGCACTCCAGGAATCGGGCAGGAACGTTGAGTGATGCAGCAGACGGTCTGGAGGACACGTCACATGTATGTATTTATGCAGTTCTCTCAGCCTGACACGAACACAACAGCTGTGGACGGAAACGGTTCTAAAACACTGACCCGCACCAGCTGGTTGGTCGTTTCCCAGCTGGGCGTCTGTGGTGGGAGATGACAAGGTGGAGGCGTCGGTGGTGGGAGATGACAAGGTGGAGACGGAGGGGTCGGGGACTGGGGTCGGGGACTGGGGGGGGTAAAAGAAGTGGGGCAGAGGTGGTAGAAAAGGACAAAGTGTCAGGGGTGAGACAAAAGTAAATCTCACCGTGTGTGGACTGTGGTGGTGAGAAACACAGACGCTGAACCAGTGACACCGAGACCATGAAGTCAAGATGTTTTTTCACACTTCACAGACCTGAACTTTAAACAGGTTAATTAACAGCCAATAAAATTAGTTTCTATAAAAATTAAAATCAGTTCAACCATCGTCTCATTTTTTTTTCTCATTTTCTGGTCCATTAAACATTTTTATATAATATTAACAGTCTACTACACTGTAAATGACTTTACACAGTATGTAAATATTTCTGTTCTTTTTTTTTTCTTTTAGTTTGACACAAAACAATGAGACAAACACCCAGTGACATTCTGTGACATTTTTCCCCCCGTTATTTTTGCATGGATGCTTTTCTAAAGTTATCCTGAAAAAACCTGATCTGAACTCCATGTAATGGCTGCAGTGTCTCAGTCAGTTACAGATACTAAACAAATATGGATGATAGAAAATGATAGAGGTTAAGAAACAAGGCCGGAAGATTCAGAGGAGGAGGAGGAGGTGCAGCCAAGCAGAAGAGTTCTCGGGTTAATTTAGGATTAGGACAAAGCAAACGAGTAAGGAGGCAGGAAACGGAGAGGGAGGGAGGGAGGACGGAAAGAAGAGAATGATGGTAGGAAGGATGGGAGGAAGGAAGGAAAAATGGAGTTGGAGAGAGAGTAAGAAGTAAGAGGAATGGATGGAGACAGAGATGAAGAGAGGTAGAAAGGGAGAAAAGGAAGAAGGAAATAAATGTTTCAAACTCTGAGAAGGTTTCTCTCTTGAATCGACCAGAGAATGAACCTTTTCTGCCAGAATCCACTCCACTCCACTCCACACACATGAAACATGACAATCACGCTGCCGCTCCCTCACTCAGCTACTGATAAATATTCACAGCTCAAAGAAGCAGATTAACCTTCAAAAATGGAACAGGTACCGTTTAATCAGGTACATCTGGGGTGAGTGCATTTGTACCTGTCCCCCTCGTCTCTCTGTGGACAAAAATCAGCAGCCTCTCAACTGTGGCTAATGTTTTATCTGTCATCACAACATTCCACTTGAGTTTATTGTCTTTTTGACCTTTTCTCAAAATGAAAAATTCTGTTTGTTTATTAGTGAAGCACCAGAACAGCACCAACTCCAAGTACCATCAATATTACCAACATTAAATCACAGCAGCACAGAATTAACTCACCTAATCCCAATAGGAATCATATTCTATCGTGTACCACTAGAGGGAGTCTAAGAACCAGGAGCGGTAAGCTTACCATAGTTTGAGAACCATAGTTTAACAACTCCTAAACACAGGGACATTTTTGTTTTCCATTAGTCAAACATTGTTAACTTTTTACAACAACAGTAAAAGCAAAATCTTAAACATCTTTTCGGAGGAAGCGCTGAGTCCTCGTATGTGTCTTGGAATAATTTATCAGCACAGCAGGGGGAGTTAGTGAGTCTGTGATGGAGGTAACTAAGTTTGCCAACTTCCAGCAGGATGACGGTGCCCTTGAATTTGGACAGAGGGTTTGTCAGAGACATATAAATGCTCCTGACTGTGACACTTTACTGGGCTGATTCAGCTTCCTGCCCCTGGGAAACAAGGACAGTGAGTAACTCTGAGTCTGGCTGCTAAAAAAAAAGGAAAAAAAAAAAAAAAAAACAGGGCTGAAGATCTCAAGGCAATGGACCAAGAAGGCTTTACATCTGTTTGCACTGCAGCGATGCCGCACAGTGACGAGGTGTATTTACCATCTGTACGTGTCAGGCCTTCTGTGACTTCATGATTGATGCCAGAGTTTGGATGGGACGCGGTATCCTTTAGTTATGAAAGTCAAAGAACTGAAATTTTTTTTCTTTAGTTATGAAAGTCAAAGAACTGAATTTTCTTTTGTGTGTGACGTAAACTCCCTTTTTTTCAATGATTGGTTTGAATTTGGGCCAGAGACACGTTGATGTTTTAAAATCAACCTTCATTGTTCATTAATTCAGGTGCTTGGACATGATCCGATATGAAAGGATTCATTTACATTTTTATTATCATTACTGTTCCTCATTGACCTTGACGTGTCCCCAACAGCCTCCGTTTTGCTGAGCAGTCACTTTGTCCCCAACACACACCGTGACACGGTGATGGTGAGCTGATGGTTGGTGTTGGTGGGTTTTTTTTGTTTTTTTATTTGTGGTTCTTTAAAGTAGTGTATCAAAATGGACGAGCAATACTGAGTCACAGCTTGGTTGAAAGTTATGTGGGTATTTTTAAAAAAACAACCGCAACTGTCTTTCACAGGCTTCACTAACAAATGACTGCAGAGCAACACTGACGCTCTGTGGACACTGTGCAGAGCAACACTGACGCTCTGTGGACCCTGCGAGTACTGCAGCTACTTGAGCAAATAAAAAGTGAACATTATTATGTGTGAATAGACATGTCTCAAAAATGCTTTTATTCCATAAGCCTCCAATTTCAAAACAACCATTTCATCATTTTACCAGCAAATTAAATTCACCGCAAGTTTGACACATTCACTACAAAACCTGATCTTGAGTCACATCTGCTCATGAACCTGGTCTGATGTATCAGTCAGGCTAAGTGTGTGTGTCATCTTCTTATTATATGAACTAAAAATAACAGCCAGAGCCCAGAGAGGGGGCGTTTTGCAGTCACTGGCTTTATTCATTGATCAATTAACAAAACAAATCACACAAACGATATGCATTACTATTATGACTTAAATAAATAAAGCATAAAATCCATAAATATTCATTAAGTGTTAAGTCCACGTCACAGAAGCCAGCAACAGATCACAGCAGAACGAGGGCGGGGGCAGAAATACAATACAGTGGTCTGGTTAGTAGGTCAGTCAGTTGTTCAGCCATCCTGAGTGTTTTTAGCCTCTTAAAGGGGGATTCTGTTTCCACGGTCAATGTCTAAACGCTGCTAACTACCAGAAGTCGGCGTGAACTCTCAGCGCTCCCTGCTGGGAGGGCGAAGGGAGGGTTAGTTATTGCAGAAGGAGTTCAAAGTTAACGCTGGTTTCATCACTCGTTCTCGACATGTTGGTTTTTTGTTTTGTTTTTCTGTGCTTCTTTAATCCCCAACGCCTTGGTTTTATTTAAGCTGTGAGTGTTCAGCACGGCTCATGTGTGGCACATGATCTTAATCAGCATGTGTTTCATCTTTAATATACAGTATGTCACCAGACTGGGTGTTATTTGCAGTAGCAGACTGGGATTAGAGATGAAAGAGTTTAGATTATGGGCTGAACCGGCTGAAAATGAATGTGTGCTTTATGTCATCGTAGCATTGCCAAAGTTTATCTAGACTTTCATACAGTGTTGAAGCCTCTGTGCTGCAGCTCTACCAGCAGTGTGACAGTGTGAAGGGAAATGAAGGCACAGACAGAGGTGCATTGTTTGTCAACCACACTGCGGCGGCTGTTAAACGACTCAAACGTCTTGTTATTTAGTCGACAATGTAGTGGAAGCAGATTAAACATTAAATCTTCACATATGGCAAATACGAACATGTCTGAAGTCAAAGGGAATGAAATCAGGTTCATGAAGAAACAGCACCGTATGAAATGGAACTGGACCGCAGCTGAGTTTTACACAAGTTATAGTCATAGTTTTTTTTTTTTTTACAATTTCCAAAATTCTGTTAATTTTCACAAAAATAACAGAATCCACTCCAAAAATAAAGATAAATACTCAACAAAGATTGAATTCTCTAAAATAACCTCTCACATCTGTCACGGACGGTTCAGTATGACACACACTGAGAGAGAAAAGGAACTCAATATAAAACAAACATTTTAGGTACAAAACAACATGTGGTTTAAAATGATCAGCAAACAAACGGCTAAAATATAAAACAATATTAAAGTGCAATAATGAAAGATTATTGACAACAAAGGATCCATGGGCCGTTTTCACCCTCAGCCTCCACTGATATATGAAATAAAGATTTTAATTTTATATCAAACTCCATTGTAGTCAGCAGCAGAAAAACGTGAAAATAAAAAAAAATTACAAAACTTGGCGATGACAAAAAAGGTTTTTTTTAAGTTCATTAATTCAGCTTGATGCACTGGTGTGCCATGAGGTATTTAAATACTAGCAGATTTTTATGTTGTTTTTCATGGAGACTTGAAGCACCTCAGAATACCTGGTAAGGTTCACTGACTGTAAAAAACTGCTCACAAACATTCATCTGCTTCATCACGACTGTAGAAATGAGGAGTTGTTTTGAAACGTGCTGGTCTGGAAGGATTTTCCAAGTGAAAGACGGGAAAAGAAAAACCTTTGTTTTTCGCACTCTTCTGTGACTGACTACAATGGAGGCGACCTCATTATAACACTGTGATGTTGCTGCTGCTGCTTTGTTCACATTTTTGTTTTTTTAGCTTTATGTGTTTCTGCCGCCGTTGATGACGTTACCTCCTGAAGGAGCGATGTGAATAGAGTCCAGGATGGGCCGCAGCATCTGCCCGAACGGTCTGCAAACCGAAAAAAGTATTTGACCATTTGTTCCATCAGTTACAGTAAAAATAAATTTGTCAATAATAATTATTACTATAGAGAGCTTTTTATATCAAATTTATTTTTAACTAGAATTGGTTTTTTCACTGTCAATTCTGTGATTGGACCTGATTTCAAAAATGGACAGTAACCCTTTAACAGACAGAGAAATCACTGCGTGACTGGCAGAAGAGGTTCACTCACGTGGAGAGGACCTCAGAGGGAAGGTCAGTGATGTACGCGGGGATGGGCCGTCCTGTCAGGAACTGAGCCACCTCATTGGTGAAGGTGTTGCAGTTGTGCTCAAACAGACGATACTGGTCACCTCTGTGGCACGAAGAACAGAGAAGAGCTATAGATAAATCTTTAATTAAAAAAAATAAAAATGTAAAAAGATTTTTTTTTATCTCCAGAGACTTTCTGGTTAAAAAAAGATTTTAATAAAGACAGTGACCGAGGACAGTCACTCCACACCTGTATGTGCTTTCTCCCAGAGAGGAGAGATAGTCCATGAAAATTTCTTCAGACACTTCAGTCTCACCCAGCTCCACGACGGTGTCTGGGGGTCCCAGCATCGTCCCACCCTGGTCATAAACAAGAAAAACTCAAATTATACCAGACTGACGTGAAACCTGGAATATGAAAAAAAAATTTCCTGTGCCTTACAAGACAAATGACGCAGCATCTGCCCGAACGGTCTGCAAACCGAAAAAAGTATTTGACCATTTGTTCCATCAGTTACAGTAAAAATAAATTTGTCAATAATAATTATTACTATAGAGAGCTTTTTATATCAAATTTATTTTTAACTAGAATTGGTTTTTTCACTGTCAATTCTGTGATTGGACCTGATTTCAAAAATGGACAGTAACCCTTTAACAGACAGAGAAATCACTGCGTGACTGGCAGAAGAGGTTCACTCACGTGGAGAGGACCTCAGAGGGAAGGTCAGTGATGTACGCGGGGATGGGCCGTCCTGTCAGGAACTGAGCCACCTCATTGGTGAAGGTGTTGCAGTTGTGCTCAAACAGACGATACTGGTCACCTCTGTGGCACGAAGAACAGAGAAGAGCTATAGATAAATCTTTAATTAAAAAAAATAAAAATGTAAAAAGATTTTTTTTTATCTCCAGAGACTTTCTGGTTAAAAAAAGATTTTAATAAAGACAGTGACCGAGGACAGTCACTCCACACCTGTATGTGCTTTCTCCCAGAGAGGAGAGATAGTCCATGAAAATTTCTTCAGACACTTCAGTCTCACCCAGCTCCACGACGGTGTCTGGGGGTCCCAGCATCGTCCCACCCTGGTCATAAACAAGAAAAAGTCAAATTATACCAGACTGTACAAAAACACGTGAAGCCTGGAATATGAAAAGTATATTTCCTGTGCCTTACAAGACAAATGATGTCTTAGGAGATTTTAGTAAATGTTTGTTTTTGATTTTTACATATAAAGGTATGTCACATATAGAATTATTTGCTTTTTATTTGCAGGAATAACCTGACTTTTAATGAACCTATTATAACAACAACAACAACAACAACAGTCTGTGTCTGAAGAGATTGGTGAGACAGGAACTGGTCAGACTTACTGGTGAACAACTGGAGATCCCTTCACCACCGAAAAAGAACTCATCACCGTAGGCCACTATGGCTGTGTGCCTGAAAGAGAGAAATCATTCAGTTGACTTCATTTGAAGACAATATATATTGATTTCTGACTTAGGGACATTTTCAATAAAGAATGAACTTTGAACGGTATACACCAGTGTTACATAAATATGCTTTATCTTTATGCCTGTACTGATTCCTTCAAAGAACAAAAAAAAAACAATATCTGTAGGGTCAACAATAAAGAAAGATCCATACCATATCCCATCCAGTTGTTTTCCTGTAAAGACAGAAAATCCAGTTAAGATGGAGAACAACAACAATCTGTAATTGTTATCATTTCTGTTCATATTAACTAAAATTTACTTAATGAGAGTTTGACCAGAGACCGTTTGAACGAGACGATCATTTTCACGCGGTTTTCGTCATAATCACTTGTTTTCTCCGAGGCCTGGCTGAGTGCTGTTTTCCCCTCATCTGTACTCACCTAACATGATGGGACTGAGGCTGCGAGCCATTCCTCTGGACAGATCATAAATATACAGCTGGACGTTGTATCGTGTGGCATTCTTATCCATATTCTAACTCCCGGGTTTTGCTGTTTATTAAATGTATTGTGCGCCCGTTCGCTGGCTCGGCGATGAACCTTCAACCGCACAGCTGACTGGGCGGCGCTCGAAAGAATGATGTCATTGTGAACTTAACATATTTCCGTTTCCTCTTCTTTTCGGAATAAAAGCTCGAATATGCGCTTGAAAGAAAGTCACATCGTTTAAATATCTGCAAATAAGATATTTTCTGGCTTTAAAGCTCTGTAACCTAATGACTTGTAAAGAAAACAAATCGGATTATAAGGTTTTTATCTCGACTTAAATTAAAAAAGTTCCGCATTTCAACATAATGCTAACTGGTAATAAACGGGCAACAAAGTATAATTAAGAGCACATTTTGAAAGTATTTTACGCAGCCCAAAAAGGGACATGGGAAAATAAATAACCGTTTCTGGTGCTTACGTGTAAATTCCAGGTGCGCACTAGAAACTAATTCATTTCCAAAAACCAGCAGAGCTACTACCAGATCACTATCGTGATGGTGTGTAAAACCACAATTGTTAACAGTAGTAGGAAATTGTGACACCCTTTTACTTGAGTAAAATTCACTTTAGTGACCCAAGTATTGAAGAACCACAAGAGGGCGCTGGGTGGGGCTCTTGAGGGTTATGTTGGTTGAAAATATTCTATGAAATTGCATATTAAATGTTTCTCCATTAATGTGCATTGACGTTTTAATCCAGTCACTCCTCCCACTCCAGTACAGTAGGTGGCAGTGCAGCATCTGAAAATAGTTAAAACCACTAAACCAGCAGCCACAGAGGAACAGCAGCAGCTCCCTGTTGCTCTCTGGACCAAAATAGACGGTTGAAGGCTGAACAGCAGCTGACATCAACTAGAAATGGCTGCCACAGGAGTTCTTCCCTTCATCAGGGGGGTGGACCTCAGTGGAAACGACTTTAAAGTAAGTAATTTAGGTCGTAATCTTTATCGCCACACCAGTAGCTCTTCAGCACAGCCGGTAGATCAGGCTAAAGTTAGATAAACAAAGACTAAAAGCAGGGGCGGTCTAAAACATTAGCTTAGCTTCACTTGCCTAGCATTGGGCGTTAGCCAGTTGTCAGATATTTGACATGGACAAAGTGAAGTCCGAATCGCTTCCTGTCTCAGCGGGTCACGCATGGAAAATACATTATTACAATTTAAACCCTTTGCTGACTGGTTTTACTTTAAATGAACGCAGCCTTTCTCTCAGTGTGACGTTTTCTAGCTTTTTAGCCTGACTTGCTGCGTTTAATCATCTGAGTAAGAAGTCAGGTTTATCAGCGTTTGTTTTAGATAATGCCGTAGGCAAACATAAGCCGTTGTTATGGAGTTTTCCACTGATCATGGGCAGTATATTTTCACCACACTCTTACATTTGATTGACTTTTTAGCCCGTTAGGGACAAAGGGAACACTGAACGCTTCTGTCATCTGATAACAATATACAACTATTTAATGAAGTTACAATCTCGGTTTGGCAGGTAGATAAAACTAGAAACAGTTTTTATATCTGTTACTCGGTAACTAGTGGAAAGCTGAAATACTATTTTCGGCCAGACTGGGATGACATCATTTCCTCTGGCTGTTCAGTGACTAACAGTAGTTTATAGTTCGAGTAGCTCATCCGAACAATGAAATACTGTTGGGATGACACTATATCCATAAGTTACTAATGTCCTTACCTAAATCTGGTTGTAGGTCATATTGTGCATAAGGCTAAAGTACCATGCAAAAACAATAGTAATTGACATGGAGATTTATAAACATGTTATGAATGTCTCTTACAGACGTGGTTATGGCCTGTTGCACTACTTTTCTGATAAAAAATGAAAACAGCAGAGTGTTACAGTTGGTATTCACCTGTGTTCACAGGGTGGATATTTCCCAGAGCACGTCAAGTGTATGAGCAGTCTGCGATGGCTCAAACTGAACAGGACTGGTCTGTGTTACCTTCCAGAGGAGCTGGCCTCTCTGCAGAAGCTGGTGAGTTTTTACCATCTTAAAACCAATCAACTAACGTTTCAAATTCCATCTTCTGTCTGTCAAAGTGTCATTAACAACACTGTTGTTATTGTTTAAATCCATACATATCACTTTTTTAAACAGATAAGATTACACCCAAGGACTGATACAAGCTGAACAGTGAAAAGTAACCTGAACAAAAATGTACCCGGCTCTGCTTTAATCTTCACATCATCTGAATTGATTATCTAACCGTCCCTTCCACGGCAGTGCTGAGCAGATCAGCTGTCCCCACATTCTCTAGATTACTGTGTTATTGTTTCTTATAGTTACTGTGCCCCATGTGTGAATACCAGACTTCACTTTGATTTTGTCCTGTTTGTCAGTTTAAAAGACAACAGATTTTATTAACAGTGTGTTTCCCTCACTTCTAATCTTCAGGAGCATCTTTCAGTGAGTCACAACAACCTGACCACTTTACATGGGGAGCTGTCCAGTTTACCAAACTTACGGGTAATTAACTCAAAGTGATATGAATTACATTTTCATGCACCTCTTTGTTACAGATGACACTGTACTCATCTGTCCCATTGTTTTTATAGGCAGTGGTAGCCAGAGCTAACAACCTGAAAAACTCAGGAGTTCCCGATGACATCTTTCAGCTGGATGATCTTTCTGTGCTGGTACTTCATCTTTATTTTTTACCCTACAGTCAAATCTGTCAACTTTTCTTTTTACTTGAACCTACTTCATTCTCCTCCAGGACCTGAGTTACAACCAGCTGACAGAAATCCCCAGAGACCTGGAGAACAGCAGGAACATGCTGGTGCTGAACCTGAGCCACAACAGTATCGACTCAATCCCCAACCAACTGTTCATCAACCTGACGGACTTGCTGTATCTGGACCTAAGCGACAACAAGCTGGACAGTCTGCCACCGCAGATGAGACGCCTGGTGCATCTCCAGACTCTCATACTGAACAACAACCCGTTGATGCATGCCCAGCTGCGGTAACACAACAACAAAGATCTATTCTTGGATTAAAAATAGGTTTTGAATGCAAGGAAAATTCACAGTGATTTTTGTTTGCTGGTTCAGACAACTTCCAGCTATGGTGGCTCTACAGACTCTGCACCTGAGGAACACTCAGAGGACCCAAAGTAACATGCCCACCAGCCTAGAGGGACTGACACAGTTGACAGGTAATATGCTGTACATACACACATACCGTCTATGCTCAAATGTCACTCCTTATAACAGGGAAAAGCACCTACCTCCCTGAGTCTCTTTCTTTATTTCCTGCTATTTACTACATAACAAAACAACTTAACTGCTCTCTGAAATGTTTTTTCGCCAGACGTTGACCTCTCCTGTAACGACCTAACGCGGGTTCCAGAGTGTCTTTATTCACTGGGAAGTCTGAAGAGACTAAACCTGAGCAGTAATCAAATCTCTGAGCTCTCGCTTTGCATTGACCAGTGGAGTCAGTTGGAGACGCTGAACATGAGCCGCAACCAGCTCACATCGTTGCCTGTAAGATTTTAACCTTTTATATCAAGGGAGTATCACAAAGTATGATAAAAAAAACCAACCTTCACACAGTAGTTACTGAAGTCTCATACTGAAACTTTCTTTGTCTACATTCAGTCTGCCATCTGTAAACTATCCAAACTAAAGAAACTGTATTTGAACTCCAACAAACTGGACTTTGATGGAGTTCCACCTGGTGTGGGCAAACTCTCCAGCCTCACTGAGTTCATGGCTGCCAACAACAACCTGGAGCTCATCCCTGAGGGTCTCTGCAGGTAGGAATCAGGTTCATAACTCTAATATGTAAAAGGAAGAATTACCACAAGACTCACGTGTGTTTTCTTACAGGTGTGGAAAGCTGAAGAAGCTGGTATTAAACAAAAACCGACTGGTGACACTGCCTGAAGCTATTCATTACTTGACTGATTTGGAGGTAAAAGAAAAAAATTACCTCAACTCTTCAGAAGATTCAAACCAGGGATTTCAGATCAGCTGATCCTCTCTGTTGATGTTGACTCTCTCCAGATGCTGGATGTGCGCGAGAACCCCAACCTGGTGATGCCTCCTAAACCTGTAGACAGATCGTCAGAGTGGTACAACATCGACTTCTCCCTTCAGAACCAGCTCCGATTGGCTGGAGCCTCACCTGCTACCGTGGCTGCAGCTGGAGGAGGTGTGTAGTGGTGTACGATGGCCTTCGTCTTGTATGTGTATTTGGCCGTGAGTTAAATCTACTGTTTGCACGTGTGTGAAGGAACCAGCCACAAAGATCACCTGGCCAGGAAGATGAGGCTGAGGCGGAGGAAGGATTGTTCTCAGGACGATCAGGCCAAGCAGGTGTTGAAGGGCATGAGTGACGTTGCACAGGAGAAGAAGAACATGGAGGTAAAAACAATATTCTCTAAAATTAATGAATAACAAAATAGTGATTGTGTTCAGTTACCAGGAACTCTGCTCCCCAATTTGACTTTTCAGGAGAATGGAGACTTGAAGTACGGTGATGTGAAGACCCAACGCTGGGACAAGAGTCTAGAGAAGCCACCACTGGACTACTCTGAGTTCTTCTTAGAAGATGTTGGACAGGTAAGGTACAGGTTCAAACAATCTTCGTCAGATTGTCGATAAGATTCTTTAGACTTTTTGAATACTTTCTCTACAGATTCCAGGTGTATCAGTTTGGCAGATGGAGAACTTTCTTCCTGTCCAAGTTGATGAAACGTTTCACGGGAAATTTTACGAGGCCGACTGTTACATTGTTCTCAAGGTAAATATTTGTTGCTGGAAAAGAATAGTATCTTTGCTTACGTAAACAACATTCAACACTTTCCCCTGTAACACAGACCTTCCTGGATGATAACGGAGCACTCAGCTGGCAGATCTTTTACTGGATTGGCCAGGAAGCCACGCTGGATAAGAAGGCTAGCGCCGCCATCCACGCTGTCAACCTGAGAAACTGCCTCGGAGCGGAGTGCAGGACGATAAGGGAAGAGATGGGAGATGAGAGCGAAGAGTTCAGCGCTGTATGTAGAGATGAACACATACGATGTTTGGAAGATAGATCTTCTTAGACCAAACACCATTTACTATCAGTCTTAAATCTTTGAAATGTCCTGTGCAGGTGTTTAACAATGAGATCTCCTACATCGAGGGAGGCACAGCCAGTGGATTCTACACTGTGGAAGACAACAACTATGCCATCAAGTAGGGTTAAAGGAGCAACATGCATTTTTTACATGTTCAAATGTGCAATTACTAATTTTAAGGAATAATACATACAGTAGTACAAGTTGATGACGACAGTCTGTCTCCTCATGTTCAAATGTGCAATTACTAATTTTGATGAATAATACATACAGTAGTATAAGTTGATGACGACAGTCTGCCTCGTCTGAAATCCATGTAATCATCCTTTGATGTCCTTGGGTTTATCTCAGGTTCTACAGAGTGTATGGCAAGAAAAACATCCGACTGGAGTCAGTGCATGTGAAGGCCTCCTCCCTCGACCCTCGGTGACTAACACACACACACACACACACACACACAACATAAACATTCTTCCTTATACACATTAAGCTACACATCAAGTCAAATCAGTGCATGAGTTAATAACTTTTCTCACTTTTCTCTTTTGCAGTTTCATCTTCTTGTTGGACACGGGTCTAGAGATATTCATCTGGAGAGGAGCCAATGCTACACTCAGTGGCACCACAAAAGCCAGGCACGACAACAAAACTAATGCTAACAATCATTGTGCCAGTCTGAGGCGTTGGTCTCTCTGAGTTATAGACACTAATGAAAATATTATTTACTTCTTATCCACCAGGTTATTTGCAGAAAAGATAAATAAGAATGAGCGTAAAGGTAAGGCAGAGATCATCACACTCAGGCAGAACCAGGAGCCTCCAGTGTTCTGGGAGATGCTGGGGGGTCAACCTGAGGAGATCAAGGTCCATGTTCCTGATAACTTCTCTCCCATCAGACCAAAGCTGTACAAGGTGAATGATTTGACTTGTATCAACACATGTTTTTTTTACCTAAAATTCAAATGTAGATCAGACAGAACATGTGAATGGTTTAAATCTGCTTGTAGGTGGGTTTGGGTCTGGGGTACTTGGAGTTGCCCCAGGTGAACTACAAGCTGTCAGTTGAGCACAAAGACCACAAGGTGAAACTTGACACTCTGCCAGAACTGAGACTGGTGAGTTCAGCTGCTGCATCGTCACTAAAAGACTGAGCAAACCTCCCGCTCTTCACATGTTGAGCTTCATCCTTCCCTCTCTTCTGTTCCTCACTTCAGCTGCAGTCTCTGCTCGACACAAAGTGTGTTTACATCCTGGACTGCTGGTCTGACGTCTTCATATGGATTGGGAGGAAGTCTCCACGTCTGGTCCGAGCCGCCGCCTTGAAATTGGGTCAGGAGATCTGCTCCATGCTGCACCGGCCCAAACATGCCTGTGTCACCCGCAACCTGGAGGGCACCGAGTGTCAGGTAACAAACGCAGCTGTCCTTCTCACAGGAAACAGGAAGAAGTTCTTCTCCCACATTCACTGACAAGATCCAATCCAACCAGAGTCTGTTCCTCCTCTTCACCAGGTGTTCAAGTCAAAGTTTAAAAACTGGGACGACGTGTTGAAGGTGGACTACACCAGAGCAGCAGAGACGGTGCAGCAGAAGGACACCCTGCAGGGCAAAGTCAGTGATTTATGGATTTCGAGATTTAAAGTGATTGTTGTCACATGTACACTGCCAAAGACACAGGAAAAAAATGATTGTTGTCACATGTACACTGCCAAACAATTAAAGACACGGGAAAAAAGAGGAATTAGCAAAACAATAATTCAATTAAAGCAGCATGTAAACTGTTATAAAAACACAAACTAAATATGTAACAAAAAAAGTAAAACACTGTTAAAATATAGCTGCAATAATAGCTAAATAATAAGTGATTTGTCTCACAGGTGAAGAAGGACGCGGAGCAGAAAGACCAGATGAAAGCCGACCTCACTGCTCTCTTCCTCCCCAGGCAGCCGGCCATGCCTCTGACAGAGGTCGGAGTTCACAGACACACACTTCACACACACACACTCGGTAATCTCTGTTCTGATTGGAGAAGGAATAGAAACATGACTTCTGTCTGTTCTTCATGTTTCCTGTCCAGGCTGAGCAGCTGATGGAGGAGTGGAACGAAGACCTGGACGGTATGGAAGGGTTCGTGTTGGAGGGGAAGAAGTTTGCTCGTCTGCCCGAGGAGGAGTTTGGACATTTTTACACACAGGACTGCTACGTCTTCCTGTGCAGGTGAGTGTGGCTGTGGACTTGTCTTTTTAAATAATAAATCTCCAAATGAAATTAAAGTTATTGTATTTTGTAAAGGCTTAAAAGGTGCAGGATTTTAGGATACGGTTTTTAAATATTAAATTTTTTTTTTAGGATAAGGTTTTTAAATATTAAATTTTATTTTAGGATAAGGTTTTTAAATATTAAAAAAAAAATTTTTTGTCATTCACTTGTTCCTCAGGTACTGGGTGCCTGTGGAGTACGAAGAGGATGAGAAAGAGAAGAAAGAAGGAGAGAATGGTGCTGGTGAAAGAGGAAAAGGAGGTGGAGGAGAGGAGGATGAAGAGGACAAACAGCCAGAAGAAGACTTCCAGTGTGTGGTGTACTTCTGGCAGGGCAGGCAGGCCTCCAACATGGGCTGGCTCACCTTCACCTTCTCCCTGCAGAAGAAGTTTGAAAGCCTGTTCCCAGGAAAACTGAAGGTGTGAAGGAGGATTAGTTGTTGTTTTAAGAAACTGCTGCAGTCATTGTATATTTAAAATCCATATTTATTTCTGTCTGTTTTAGGTGGTGCGTATGACACAGCAGCAGGAAAACCTGAAGTTCTTGTCCCATTTCAAGAGGAGGTTCATCATCCACAAAGGGAAGAGGAAACAGAAGACAGACTCCGCTCAGCCCTCGCTCTACCACATTCGCACCAACGGCAGCGCTCTTTGCACCAGGTTGACATGTCGCCTGATTTCAAATTTTAATTACATCCACCATGTAGCGTTTTCTACTTTATAAATTTGACAGTTCCCTCAGGCTATTTTAACATCTGGCGTCTCTTTTTCTCAGGACAATCCAGATTGGTACAGACTCAAGCAACCTCAACTCAGAATTCTGCTTCATACTCAAGGTAAGGAGGATTTTTTTTCTCTGTTTTTACATAAGTGTTACTTTTGGGATTCTGTTAAACATTTTTTTTAAACGTGTGTTTTCTGCAGGTACCGTTTGAAAGCACAGATAATCAGGGCATCGTCTACACGTGGGTGGGCAGAGCAGGCGACCCCGATGAGGCCAAACTGGCAGAAGATATTATGAACAGCATGTTTGACGACACCTACAGCAAACAGGTAGGTCTGCTAACAATTATTTAGCATTCTTATTAGAAAAGATTATGAAAAGATTAGAAAAGAGTTCATAAAAGAGTTATATGATTTGTATCAATTATTTAGCATTCTTATTAGAAAAGATGACAGAGTTCATAGAGTTATATGATTTGTATCGTAGGTAATAAATGAAGGCGAGGAGCCAGAGAACTTCTTCTGGGTCGGTATTGGTTCTCAAAAAACGTACGATGAAGATGCAGATTATATGAAACATGCTCGTCTCTTTAGGTGAGTTATTTTTTTTTATAATTATTTAAATAAATGTGTCCTCTTAAGATTCTTACTAAGATTCTTAGTTTTATTTATGCCTTCCTCCCATCTATGACTCAGGTGTTCCAATGAGAAAGGTTATTTCTCCGTGTCAGAGAAATGCTCAGACTTCTGTCAGGATGACCTGGCTGATGATGACATCATGTTACTGGACAATGGCAAAGAGGTGACAATGCAGGAGATTTTACTATGGCTGTCACAATTTAAACATTTATCATGATTAATATTTTTTTACGTTAACAATTATTGATGGATTAATTAATTGTGATTAAATATGATGCTTATTTCAGTTAATCCTGGTTTATCAACATCTAGTGTCTAATCTTTTTGTTTCATTTCCGACTGACAGCAGACACAGTTGTAGTTTAAATGTTCTTTTACAGTACAGTTCCTTTCTCTCTCTCAGGTGTACATGTGGGTGGGTACTCAGACCAGCCAGGTGGAGATCAAACTGAGTCTGAAAGCATGTCAGGTGAGTAACGTACTACAGTAAACAGTGAAGTATTTTCCTCTGTATTCCTACATCTCACTAGCGCCTCTCCTGCCACAGGTTTACATTCAGCACATGCGCTCCAAAGAGGCCGAACATCCCAGGAAGCTCAGACTGGTGCGAAAGGGAAACGAGCCACACTGCTTCATCCGCTGCTTCCACGCCTGGGGCGCCTTCAAAACCCCACCTGCCTAGACAAACTATGTAAACTGCACACCCGCAAGCTCCAAACTACTCCCACCCAACGTCCTCGCTGCCACGAACATTTTCTACCCAGTCTCTATTTTTGCTGTTATAATGCTGATGTCTCTGCCTTTATAGATAAATATAAATACACACATAAGCCAACCATACATGCTGCTCTTCATCGGATAAAACCCAGGTTTTAGTTCAGCACTGCAATCGCAAACAAGGACACTAGGTGTCTACAAGCTTTCATGAGCACTGTGTCTAAGAAAAAGGAGAATCATGTTTTGAGTGGAAATACATCGAAGATGTACTAAGGCTTTATTAAAACTCAAAGGGAGATACAAGGCCGAGCTTATCGGTCTCTTTTTTGTTTTTGCTTACGCGTGCACTCTGCTGCCGGATCAAATAGTATTATAAGAAAGGCCGTACATAAGAAATGGTAAAAGCCATGCAGTTGTTTCAAAGATGCCTATTTTATTTTCACTAAATAGTAAATTATAAAATAGACAGTTTTTTAAAGATTAGTTGGAAATAATAATAATTGGACTTTGTTCTATCAACTTTCATTTCAAATAAACTTTCTTAGGATCATATTGAAGTAATAATAATGGCAGTAATGACTTCCAGGTTAGATGTGACACTTCCCGATCTACAGTGTGTCCACTTCTTATTTACGGTCTATTATGAAAAGTCGCTCCCCTGAGCTCAGTGCCATTTTTGCATCTCAGTTTTGTTTTTACCACCAATTAAAACATTGAAAACAGAAATTAAAGCAATATTTGAGTGTGTACGTATCTACTGTGTGGACTGAACGGTACAGTATGTGTGTTTACCCCCCCCCACCCCCGACTCAGAAGGGATCTGCCCCACAGTCCGAAAGATATATATTATTTCACAGTTTGAGTTAACAAATAATTCTATTGATCTTTTCTGCAGGTTTATCTTCATTTTCTCCAGATTTTAAGAGTTTACATTAATTTGTCCAAAGAAATACTAGGATTAGATTCTGAGACAGAGCCCTGTTGAATGTTTAAAGACGGATGTTTGAATGTGCAATCAGCTGAGCCTGGGAGATCCTGAAAACTAAAGAGCTGCTCTATGACACAGGATGCTTCCCCCTTATCACAAATTTCAGTTTTGTGTTTTGTTAAAGTAAATGCATGATGTTAATATTTCAGGTTAAGTTTTGAATGTCTAAGTCAGACGTGATGTCAACCACGTAGTAAAGGCATTTTTGATTTTAGGATTAAAAATAATTGCATATTGTTATGGGAGATTTATGTGCAAATTTCAGAGACATATCTTGACCTGCCGCTCAGTGATGAGATTTAACTGTTGCATCTACACTTAGCACCTAACTGCTGCAACTGAATTCATGTGAGCGCTCAGTTTTTAGGATATTTGATCAAATGCAAAGCTTGTATTGATTGTTCCCCCCTCCCAAAATGGCTGCAACTTTCTATTTACTCTCTATTTTCTTGTTTGTCTATACTTTCGTTTTTAGGGTTGAACTGTAAACATGAGTGTTCCGCTCATGCTGATGCCACATGCAGATGCTTTATTTATGTATTTTATATAAAAAAAATAAATTCTCATGTCACATATTAAGTCATGTGTTTCTTACAGTCTGTCTCCATCGAGAAACAATTAAATAACTATTTCATTTAATTTCTACCGACAGAAAAGTAATGTATGGCCCCCAATGCTAGAAATATTCAACTGCAACACGCAACATCACCACTAGATGTAGCCAAACGCCAACAAAATGTTTCCATGCTGATTTAAATAGACGTGTTAAAATTAATTACAAACCGCCAAATCAACCAGACCGATGCAGTTAAAGATCTCTGAAACACAGCACAGCTGTTACTTTCTCAAAGGCAAGTAGGGGGCGCCAGACAGAAGAAGTGTTGGACTAAATATTTCCAAAGTTAAACGATCAACCACCAACATTACAAAACAACAATAAAATAAATAATTTTCAATTTGTAATTAGGCAACTTTAAAGTGGGAGAAGTCAAAAGAAGTTTAGTAAAAAGAAACTTATCTTCTACTTGTGTGGCTCTCCAACCAGAGAACGTCCACTGGATCCAAGCAGACGACGAAGGTAGAATCTGGGTTCCTTCCACGTGCTCCAGGGTTCATCTCATGTCTAAAAAAAACATGATTTCTCACAGACATTCCATGAAATCACTTCAGCAATGCACTTCTCATACTTCAATATAATCTTTTCATGCATTGATGTCACAAAAGCCTTGTAAATGTTGTATGGCACTGTATGACTGCAATACAGTAACACTCGCTTTAAATAAATTTTTATCTTAAGACATAACGCTGTCTTCTTAATTATGTGGTTGTTTAATTATTGTTGTGTTTTCTTACCTGGCCTCTAGTTGGAGTCAAGTTCACATTTGAAATGCCCTTTCCATTATTAAACTGTATTGGCGTTGTTTTATACAAATCTAATTCATAAAATGTGCCAAAACTTTCTCCACAAGGAATAATGAGTATTTTAAGGATAAATACTGATTGTCCACTCAATATAAAAAACGTACATTGTCCATTAAAGACATTTAGCACGATGTGTCGTAGCACCTAGCATGTTATCGACGACATAGCAAAGTGTGATAGCGGCGTAGCCAATAAACGGTATGCTAGCGACAAGTTAGCAGTGCGTTAGTTCTAGCATATTAGCAATATTTTAGGACCGCAATACTACTCACCGCTTAATTTTGAGTCGTTTTAAAACTGTTAAAACCCTCGCATCGTTTTTACTTGGACTTACCGACTGGCAAGATTTGAAACTCATCTGTTGCGCTACTGCCACCTACCGATTCTATTTCACACAATGAATGATATAAAGAACCTGCTCTAGAACATTCTTTTCAGAGACCCTATTAGAGTAAAGTATTATTATTATTATTTATGCTACTGAAACATTTTAGAACTAATCTATAATTCACACACTAAACAAGTCGTGTAAGAGTAAATAATTTTTATTAACACTTAAATTTCTTAATCAGCCGTAAATGCTAAATGACCCAGTTAAAATTCTACACACTAAACCCACTCACAGAAGCAGAAACATATTTGTTGTAACTGTGTAGTTAAAAAAATACAGGTCATGCTGCAGCATGACAGCGTTAGTTACCATCAACCAGGTCATCAGAAACAAAGCTAACACAAGTGTAAAAATGCATGGACATGTTTTTTTCTACCTGTTTGGCTACATTTGTTAGTGAGTGAGGTCCCTTTTAATATTTGATCTTTTTTGTTTACACAAAAAATAATGAAGAGGCTAAGACGACTGACCTGTTTTAGGCTCCTACAATTCAACTACCATCATCTGATCGATTACAAAGTTATTTTCTGCAGAGAGTCATGTTAACCTTGCTGTTTAAACACAGTTGAATTTTAGAGGGTGAAAAAAGGAGGAGGATCCACCAGGATTTCATCTTTTCAAAATCAAATTGTTATCAAAGGAACTGGTCCGTTGCCACATATTTAGATATTTAAATTTTTGTTCTTGAGTAAAACTTAAAGCCAGAACTGTTTTTTTTTCTCGCTAAAATCTAAACTGAAATCTCTCAAAGCTGATATAAGTTATGACTTGGTTTTTTTTTTAACAGTTTATATTCATGAAACCGTTATATATATGCTGGGTTTTCGTTAATAACTGTATACGTAGATACTACTGTTACAGAATCAATACCCAGTCCCAATCCAGACCAGTAGGAATTTAGGATTTCTTTTTTTTTTTTAAATGACACTCTTATAAATAATACATCTCACCGGTTTCAAATGAATGTGGAATAATTCCAAAGGAGAAAAACTGCAGTTTTATCATAGATATCTGTTGTTTGCCGCCAACTGATACTTCAGGCAGAAAAAAAATGAGAACATTTGATTTAACACAGACCGTTTCAGCTGCAGTTAGGAAGTCAAGTGTGGATGCAGACTTGGAGACTGTGCTTTTCACTTTTGAACATGCTCGAAATATTATTGAAAATATTATCAACCACATCTTTACATCCGACGGCTGTGCATGTTAAACTCAATCATTGTAAAAAGAAAAAAAAAACTGTAGAAAACTAGGGAAAAAGAAAAGGGCAGACCATCTACTTCTTCATCCTGTTTTTCTCCTGGCTGTGTAACAAGAATGACAAATCATTGACGGGGGCAGAGGTATGTGACCTGTACATCGAATTAAAAAAAAACAACAAACAAAAACAAAGTAAAAACTCAGGTTTTCTACAGTTTTTCTTTTACGATGAGTTAGTTGTATTGTGTCCCAAAGAACTAGCTTGTTACACAGCACTTTTGCTTATTTGAAAATCACCAATCAGCCCCCAAAGTTGTTGCAGGATAAAATCCCTAACACAAATGACGTGTCTGCAAATATTCCTGTTTGTTCCACACTGACGGAAAGCAGCGTTTCATGATAAAACTGTTGAATATTCTCACTCTAATGTTGGAAAATTCCACCAATTTCCACTGTTTCTTATCCCAAAATCCAGTTCGATATCACTGAACGTTTCCAACCTACTTGACTTTAACAGAAAAGGGTTATAGTTGAGAAGAAAAACAACAACATTTAATCGCAACTCAGACCATGTTAAACATTGTTCCCTGTAAATTCTGTCATTGTCCACTCTTCAACCTTCAACATTCCTGACTTTACATTTTAGCAATATTTGTATCCAAAAGTGATTCAAAACCTGTCTTTACTCAAACTTCCATTTAGCGACCCTGTTAAAAGCTTTTCATAAATGTGCTTCTGTGTTACAGCTCCGTGTTAAACCAGCTCCTCCTCACTTCTCGTACCACCGCTGGACAATTTGTAAGGCATTACAACAGAACCATCTGGCATCTTAAAGGGAAGGAATAGAACTTCCTGTTACTCATAATGGACAACAACATATGCAAAATACTTCATTTTCTTGTCCTTTTTTCCTCTCTTCAAGCACTGAATATCAGCCGAGTATTTTCACTCCATACACAGGTTCGTTACCAGGCTGCAGTGGTGCTAAGCAGCGTGCAAGAAAACAAAAAAAAAACAAAAAACAATCTGTCACATCCACGAGTCTTCACAAAGAACCAACGACGACTTGGCAATGTAGAATCATTTTTCCAGTTCCAAATGTGAGAGGAGCTCATACTGGGCTCAGAACATCACAAAACTGTGAATAGAAAAGTACCAAGACGGACAGATCACACTCGGAATCCTCTGCAGGATCCAACGGTCCTTTCCTAAAAGGCTGAACCAACGTCGTTCATCACAGTCATCTCCACCAGCAGGAAAAAAAAAAACATCCTGGAAACATCGAGTCACCAGATGTACAGACAGAGGAGACAGAATCACACAGGGCTTCAGAACAAAGGACGGGGGTGTCAGACCCTCACGTACGAAATGAGATTGTTCACATTTTGAACCCGATGAATCTCGGTGGAACTGGCTGTGTGTGTGTTTCACCGTAGCAGCTGATGTCATGTTTCTCAAAGTGGTGACAGAAGATTAAGTTTCCTGCAGAAGCAGAAGTAGAAGAAGAAGAAGCCACCAGAACATTGTATTCTTTGTCCCAGAGTGAGGCTTCAGTACCAGTCTGTTCCAGACTAACTGAGTGCTGGCTCGGACCTCTGCAGGGGGGGCTGATGGGAAATGTCTGTGATGCAGCATTTAAATACAGTCCACT